AAGCACTGCATGTTCACAGGAGTGACTGCTGTGGGCTGGGAACCTCCATGACTGGAATTGTCACTGAGGGACGTAGGGCCATGTTTGTAATGTTTACACCATTCAAATGTCTTACTGCAGCGGAGAATCTCATCACTATACTGTACCTGAAGTCTTCTGTAGATATCTGCAGGTTTTAGTGTGTGTGTGCGTGCGCACACGGCATAAAAAGTCTACACACATCTGTTAAAATGTCAGGTTTCTGTGATGTAAAAAAATTACAGATAAATCCTTTCAGATCTTTTTCCACCTTTTTAATGTAACCTATAAACTGTACAACTCAGTTGAACAACAAGCTGAAATCTTTTAGGTGGAGGGAAGTGAAAATGGAAAATTAAATAATATGGTTGCATAAGTGTGCACACCATTAAATTCAAAAGGTGCTTCAACAAAGTATTTGTTTATTACAGCACTCAGTCTTTTTGGATATGAATCCATCAGCATGGCACATCTTGACTTTGGCAATATTCTCCCTGCAAATCTGTCAGATTGTGAGGGCATCTCCTGTGCACAGCCCTCTTCAGATCACCCCACAGATTTTCCTTTGGATTCAGGTCTGGGCTCCGGCTGGGCCATTCCAACACTTTAATCTTCTGGTGAAGCCATTCCTTTGTTGATTTGGATGTATGCTTTGGGTTGTCATGCTGAAAGATGAAGTTCCTCTTCATGTTTAGCTTTCTAGCAGAAGCCTGAAGGTTTTGTGGCAATATTGACTGGTCTTTGGAACTGTTTATAATTCCCTCTACCTTGACTAAGGCCCCAGTTCCAGCTGAAGAAAAACAGCCCCAAAGCATGATGCTCCCAACACCATGCTTCACTGTGGGATTGGTGTTCTTTTGGTGATGTGCAGTGTTTTTTGCTCCAAACATATCTTTTGGCATTATGGCCAAGAAGTTCAACCTTGGTTTCATCAGACCATAACACATGTTCTCATATGCTTTTGGGAGACTTCAGATGTGTTTTTAGCTAAATTTAGCCGGGCTTGGATGTTTTTCTTCATAAGAAAAGGCTTCTGTTTTGCCACTCTACCCCATAGCCCAGACATATGAAGAATACGGGAGATTGTTGTCACATGTACCACACAGCCAATACTTTCCAGATATTCCTGCAGCTCCTTTAATGTTGCTGTAGGCCTCTTGGCAGCCTCCCAGACCAGTTTTCTTTTCATCTTTTCATCAATTTTGGAGGGACGTCCAGTTCTTGGTAATGTCACTGTTGCACTATATTTTCTCCACTTGATGACTGTCTTCACTGTGTTCCATGGTATATCGAATGCCTTGGAAATTCTTTTGTACCCTTCTCCTGACTGATACCTTTTTAATAATAATGAGATCCCTCGGAAGCTTTGGAATTCTATATGGGCAATGGCTTTTGCTGTAGGATGCGACTTAAAAAAAAAATGCCAGGAAAGACCTTCTAGAACAACTTAACTTTATTTGGGGTTAATCAGAAGCACTTTAAATGATGGCAGGTGTGTACTGACTCCTATTTAACATGATTTTGAATGTGATTGCTTAATTCTGAACACAGCTACAGCCCCAGTTATAAGAGGGCGTGCACACTTATGCAACCACATTATTTTAGTTTTTTATGTTTACTCCTCCACCCACCCACCCAAAAGATTTCAGTTTGTTTTGTTTTTCAGTTGAGTTTTACAGTTTTTAGAGGTCACATTAAAGGTAGAAAAAGTCTGAAATGATTTCTTTGTCTTTTTTTTTTTTTTTATTTTTTTTTTACACATAACCGCTGACATTTTAACAAGGGTGTGTATTTTTTTTTTTTTTTTTTTTTTTATTTCCACTTTATATGTATATACACTATATTACCAAAAGTATTGGGATGCATGCCTTTACACGCACATGAAATTTAATGGCATCCCATTTTTAGTCCGTAGGACCCACCCTTTGCAGCTATAGCAGCTACAACTCTTCTGGGAAGGCTGTCAAAAAGGTTTAGGAGTGTGTCTATGGGAATGTTTGACCATTCTTCCAGAAGCACATTCATGAGGTCAGGCACTGATGTTGGATGAGGCCTGGCTTGCAGTCTTCACTCTAATTCATCCCAAAGGTGTTGTGTCGGATTGAGGTCAGGACTCTGGGGTGTATATCAATACTATAAAGTAATAATAAGTGCTTGTGAGCCACTATACTATCTCTATAAATGTGACATATAAATGTGATTATGATTATACTATTATGGTTCGCTGACACTGTTGCACATACTCATATTCATGTGTAAATTAATCCCAAAATAAAACTAGAATCTGTGTCGCGCTCCAAATAAAATAAAAGTAAAATTTGGATATAAATATACCGTGCTAAATGTGCTTAATTAATGTTGCAATTAATATCCGTATATAAGTGCGTAATCCATTAAGTGTATGTATTTATGTATGTATGTATATATATCCCCTGACGAAGCCACGTGGCGCAACACGTAGGGGAGGGGCTCTGATGTCACCACGCACTCGGGAACCAGACGACGAGTATAGGAAGTGTGCATAGCACACATAGAGGAGGCTCCATGTGTTAATTACAAAGTGCAATTTTATGTTGATAATGTGAGTGCATAGACAACTGGTTATGAATTAACGGTGTTTTGAGGATAAGGCACTATATCTTTTTTCCTTTCATGTGATCTTACTGTGGAGAATTGAGGAGAAGGAGACCCTTAGACCCCTGAAGGACAGAGGGAGAGATCCACTTATCAGTCCATATTTAAGGATCAGAATACCTAGGAACCCCCGGTGGGAGAATTGCTGTATTACACCATACAACCCAGATAAAATGTAAACATAGTGAAGTTGAAATATCCTTTTATATCTATTAGGACATAAAGCAGTGTTGGCCTAATTCAGTGTTTCTCAATTCCAGTCCTCATGGACCCCCAACAGGTCATGTTTTCAGGATTTCCATTATTTTGCATAGGTGATTTGATCAGTTTCACTGCCTTAGTAATTACCACAGCTGTTTCATCTGAGGGAAATCCTGAAAACATGACCTGTTGGGGGTCCATGAGGACTGGAGTTGAGAAACACTGGGCTAATTGAATGTTAGGCTTTGATTAAGGTGAGCGCATAATATAATTAACTACTTGCCAACCGCAGATAGCTGAAAATGACGGCTACACTGTGGCCGGCCAGTTCTGGGAGGGCGTCCTTCCTTTTTTTTTTTTTTTTTTTTTTTTTTTTTTTTTTCAAAATTTTTTGCACTTTTTTTTTTTTTTTTTGTTTATACCGCAAAAAGTAAAGCGCCCAGCGGCAATTAAATACCACCAAAAGAAATCTCTATTTGTGAGAAAAAAAGATAAAAATTTCATATGGGTACAATCTTGCATGACAGCGCTGAAAGCTGAAAATTGGCCCGGCAAAGAAGGGGGTATAAGTGTCCGGTAGGCAAGTGGTTAAAGTCTTCAGAGCAAATTTCATGAAGTGAACACTGTTTTACACTAACTTTGGCACTATATATATATATATATATATATATATATATATATATATATTATATATATATATATATATATATATATATATATATATATATAATAATTATAATTTTTTTTTTTTTTACTTTTTTTTTCTATTTATTTTGATTTTATTAATTTTTTAAACAAATTTTGTTTAATAATTGATGATTGTCTTTTGGTGTATTTAATGGATTACGCACTTGTATACGGATATTAATTGCAACATTAATTAAGCACATTTAGCAGGGTATATTTTTATATCCAAATTTTATTTGGAGTGTGACACAGATTTCTACTTTTATTTTAGGACTCTGAGGTAGAGGAACTTGACTGGCCTGCAGGAACTTGCTCATCTGTATCTTTATGGACATTGCTTTGTGCACTGGTGTGCAGTCATGTTGGAACAGGAAAGGGCCATCCCCAAACTGTTCCCACAAAGTTGGGAGCATGAAATTTGTCCACAATGTTTTGGTATGCTGATGCCTTAAGAGTTCCCTTCACTGGAACTAAGGAGCCAAGGTCCACACCATAATTCCACCTCCACCAAACTTTCACTTGGCACATTGCAGTCAGGCAAGTACCGTTCTATTGGCAACCATCAAACACAGACACGTCCCTCGGATTTCCAGACAGAGAAGCATAATTGATCACTACAGCAAACAAGTCTTCATTGCTCTAGAGTCCAGTGACGGTGTACTTTGCACCACTACGACACTTTACATTGCACTTAGTGATATAAGGCTTGGATGCAGCTGCTCAGCCATGGAAACCCATTCCATGAAGCTCTCTATGCACTGTTGTGCTAATCTGAAGGCCACATGAAGTTTGGAGGTCTTATGCGATTGACTCTGCAGACAGCAACTTGTGCACTTCAGCATGCGCTGACCCTGCTCTGTTATTTTTCGTGGCTGAATTGTTTTTCACAGTTGCTTCCACTATGTTATAATACCACTTACAGCTGACCGTGGAATATTTAGTAGCAAGGAAATTTATGAATGGACTTATTGCACAGGTGGCAACCTATCACGGCACCATGCTTAAATTCACTGAGCTCCTGAGTGTGACCCATTCTTTCACAAATGTTTGTAGAAGCAGTCTGCATGCCTAGGTACCTGACTTTATACACCTGTGGCCATGGAGGTGATTGGAACACCTGAATCCAATGATTGGAAGTGTGTGTGTATACCAGTATGTACACAATAGTTCACCATGAGTTCTATTAATTCATATACTGTGAAATATCCTCAAATTGGCAATCAAACTACAGAATATATTTATAAATAATGAAGGACAATATTGTCCATAGTAGTCATATGTTCTCCTTGTCACACTGTAGAATGAAAGGGCTTATAACTTCATATAGTTTAATAAAGTAGGCATATCGTAGTGTGTTTTCCAAGCTAAGTGTGTGAAGGGTTTTCTTTTCCCCCTTCCTTTTTTTTTTTTTTTTTTTTAACTTTCAATACAAGGAAATAATTTTGTGTTTCTCTCTTTAGTCAGGTCAGTTCACAGAAGACATGATTCCTACTGTTGGCTTCAACATGAGAAAAGTTACCAAAGGCAATGTCACTATCAAGGTAAGATTTTTCTGGGGTATCTGGGTTTACCAGTCACTGGACCTTCAGGTCTCTAATACAGCAGCTGCAGAGTGGTTTGCAGCTGTTCTGCATGCCTCTTCTCCCCCTCCCCCCACCCCCCATCTACTTTTGCATAGTAGGTTATGTATTATGTGACCCCCAATCACAAACTGCAAACAATTTTGTGATTGGACAATTGGGGTGGGGGGGAGGAGAAGCAGAGTGGCATCTCTGCAGCAGAGGACTTTTCGTGGGTTAGAGATTTGGGAGTTTACCGAAAGCTGTATTCCTGGCGCTCACAAAGTGCATATAGTAAATAAGAGAGGTCTATGAAGTAGTATTCACCTTGCTGGACTTAACCCTTTTATAACTCAGCCTATTTTTAAACGTAATGCAGCTCCTGGAGTTCCACTTTTTAAACCAGAATTAAAGAGTATCTAGAGGAGTGTATATACCAAGAGTGTGCAGTGACCCATGATTGTGTGGTACAAGCTGTCAGCTTCAGGAGAAATCCTTCTGGCCTTTTGAGGCAATATTGGGCTATGTTAAACTAATACCAGCAGTGTTAGGTGACTTTGTGCATAATGGTAAATATATGTGCTGATTGTCTAATTTTTCAGTTATACTTGCCTCTCAAGTGTGTGTGTACACTGCCCTGGCATTCAGGAACTGTTCAGTGTAGTTGGTTATAGGCGTTATGAGCATTTAGCCATGTACTATAAGTGGAAACACCTTTTTTAAACTATTATTGTCCATTGTAGTATAAATGCCACATTTGACATAAGTAGTAGTTTCCTGTCTTGATACTACTATTTATTTTTTTTTTACCAAAATTTACACTCCTTTTTGAAACTGTAATCCTGAGACTGATGTGTAGTGGCTGAGATCTTGCTGATCCATCAGTATTCAGTCATATGATTTGTAATCTTAGATCATGTGCACTAGTTGTCTTATAAATGTCTGTTGTATGAGCTAGTTCTTCAGATGACTAATACTTATTTAAAGAAGCAGTTTTTGTTATTTGTGTGTGGTGTGGGTTGTGTGGTGGTTTTTTTTTTTTTTTTTTTTTTTTTTTTTTTTTTTTTTTTCTCTCTCTCTCCTCCTGATGTTTTTACTTTAATGCCATTTTAGAACAGTAAGCTTCAGGAATAACATAGTAATAGTCTTGAGAGCACCAGTAGAAATTAGCAGCTGTACGTTCGTGAGCTAATTACAGATAATTCAATGGAGGAAGAAGAGCCACCCCACTATGCCTGTTGAGGCAAATACAGAAACGCTAACCCCACCAGGTTAAAGACCTTCTCCCTAGTCATATAACACTGGAACTATTCATATAAAGACTAAACCTAGCCAAGGGGCAAGAAGGCTCCCTAATTTAAAATCTCAGGCAATGGCAATAAAAAATGCAAGCCGAGCCATAGGGCAAATTTTTAAACAAAAAAAAAGGGGGGGGGGGGGGGTAATAGAGAAAAGAAAGGAGGAGAAGCAATGGTAGGGAGGGGAAAGAAAAGATAAGGAAAAACAAAGGAAGGGTAGTCAAGATCTGTGCCATCTGCTCTCCCAGCCATCACTAGAATACTCCCCATGCAGGGGGTTGAATATACTGGCCAGGTTCTGTGTGTATGTGTGGTGATTGGGGCTGTGCAGACAGACATATACTGTAGAGAGCAGACACCAACAAAGTAAGGCCCCTTTCACACAGGCTGGATCCAGTCCCAACACATAATGCACAGTTTTAGGGAAACGGAGAACCACTGTATTGGTCAGCCACTACTACAGTGATTACCACTGGTTTCTAACTCTCGTGGAAAGGTGGAATCCTGATCTTTGCTAAGTGGTGGTATGAGCTGTAGCTGAATTGATCCTGCTGGTGTGCCTTGTGGTCCACAACCTTTGAGGGGCAATACTTTGAAAATCCTCAGGCATTTACCTTGAACATGAATTGACTTCTTTATACTTTGAGGTCTTTTCATTTGGTAAGAGGCTAACATTTCATTTATTGGTGGCGGAATTACAAGGGATCTTGGATAAGTCCTTACATCATTGGATCACAATTAAATTGAATGCTGTATGGACGTCTTCACATGTTTTGCACTTATGGGTGATATACATGTTGTGTTCTTTTAAAGGTATAGTGCAAATTTTTGGTTTTAGAACTTTATTGAAATGTCACTCAGACATTTCTTAAAGTTCAGTTGCCAGCTGCGCATTGCAAGGTGGTGAATTTTCTTTTGCTGTGTTGAGGAAAAAATAGTGCATGCAGTGGTGTTAACTAGGCAAACAGGAGACGAGGCATTTTGCCTTGTAATATGGTGTGATTGTACTGGCATAGTCGCCCATTGAAGTCCCCCTGCATCTGGTGTGAATCAACTTTAGGACTGTTTAGTGATAAATGGGTAGAGCAAGTAACAGGAGTACCAAAAAACAAATTCCTGTGACGGCATACATCCCACTAGGTGTTAGCAGATATCACGAACATCAATATATGTTGCAACACATGGTAAGGACAGTAAAGCAAAAGACTGAAGGGCCACAACACTCCCCACTTGAAATTCTTAAGGTTTCACTATATTGCATAACATTTAAATAGGTCTAAGAACAGATGAATTGGACTTGTAAAACATTACTTTAATCTTGATGGGTGAATCTGTAGCTGATTTGCAGCTTGGCCATACACTGATGGAATTCAACCGTTTCAGCAGGAATAGGCCGAATTTCTATCAGTATGCGGCTTTCCTTGCTCAGCAGAAGTTGATTGTTTGACTGCTATCAAAAAGGTATACTGGAAAACATTTGTGGTTCAGTGGCTGCAGCTGCTGGCCAGTGTATTGTGATGACAGTGGGCACTGCTGTCAGAAAACTGACAAAATGGTTAAAATGGAGGAATCCAATTGTGGGTGGTTTTTTTTTTTTTTTTTTTTGTTTTGTTTTTTTTTTTTTTTTTTTTTATTTTGGCCAGCTAGCTGAATTTAAAAAAAAAAAAAAAAAAAAAAAAAAAAGCAACCTGTCTGGCTGACTTTAGGTGCAGACTCTGTTGTAGAATTGAAAAATCCAAGTCTTTGGAACTCTTGGTAGGATTCTGTAAGAGGAGGGACATAACTGTTTTGGAGTTGTCTGGTGTAGTTTCATCGATGACTAGACTATCCAAATGTTGAAATGAATCCTCTGTGAGCAACTCTGACTCTAAATACCCACCTACTTTAGTAGTTACTACAAAGTTACTGAGGAACATCATTATTGTAAAGGAGCTCCGTATTCAAAGATTCCCCTTAACTTGTTGATGGGAGTAGTGATTTGACATGTTTTGCTAATGCTGCCGTAAGATGATTCTCTTGTAGTCTTGATCGCTTCAAGAAACCACCTTGTCAGAGTGTCTTTTAGGTTTCCCTAGCATAAGTTGTCTTGAATTCCCTCACCGATCATTTTACAAGTGCGCACACTGCTTCTTACTGAAGTGAAGAGTGTTGATAATAACGTAACCTAATCCTTCGGGCATAGGCAATCACTAAACTCTTCATATATTATCCTTTTTTAATTATGGAAAACACAGCTTCCCAGCCCCCTCATAAAGAGAGAAATTTTGGGGTTTTTTTTATGGGCTGTTAAGTGAAGGTTCTGAGTCATCGCACAAACATGCAAATTAGATCTCTGCTGTAACAATTTTTCTGATTGGACCTCTTGTCAATTTTAATGCAATACCCCTGATAATACAGTATTTGAATTGTCCTGTGCAGTTGTGTTGACGTTGTTCTGGCTTAGGATAAATTGCAAGGTCCTTCCCCTTTTTTTTTTTTTTTTTTTTTTTTTTTTTTTTTTTTTTCCCCCTCCTAGTTCACCAGATGCTGTCAATAAGGCCCATTTCACTCGGTTGGACCATCTGTCCATATTTATTTCCTTTATCCGTCCATTCACAAATGAGAAATGGATAGCAGTGTATTTCTATGGATCAACATGAAAAAAGCCCAGTTCCGTGAGGCCGGATATTTGTGTTATGTCGGCGTCAAGGGGTTAAAGGAAAAAAAATTTATAAAGACCTTAAATGCTGTTTTTGCAGATTTTCAGACAGGACTGTAATATAATATTAAGCATGACAGGCTCCCTGGTCAAAGGGCAGGTAGCTTGATACAAGCTGTCGCAAAAATGGTTGAACTGCGTACTTCACTGTGTTTTGCGCAGTTTTTGCAACACCTCCCCTCCAGGTGGTTGCATGGGAGGGAACTACAATCTCCCTCCTGATGCAACCGACCTCTGTCCAGAGGTTCACCTCGGGTTGACCTGGTACCGCTACACTGTGGGAGAACCGAGTTCCGTCTGACAGGGAAGCCGTTCTCCCCCAGGAACACTGCTATGCCGACCAAGTGGTGGTCACGGGTGGGCACCAGTCGGCTGTGTCTGTCTGAATACCGCGGCCACTGCTGGGGTGCCCACCTGTTCACAGAGCACTTCGGCTGAGGGGGGTCACCTGCTAACATATTAATATGTAGCTTCTTGTCGAGGTAAAAAAGGTGATTCCCCTCTCCCACCTTCTTCCTCAGGCCCAGGACTACATCTGACTGAAGGTAGTAGCGCCTGTGTGCACCGGAACCGGACAGGCGAATTCTGGAACTCGCTTCCCAGTGGGGTCCACAGGTACCTTCATCCAAGATGGACAGTCCTCGTTACCTGTTAGCATCCAGGACACCAGTTCCTCCAGTTTCCTGTCTGCTAGGTCTGTCACAGGTCCAGCTGAGCATGATAGTTGCATCCAGGCGTCCTACCATAGCCAGTGGCACCCATGACTGACGTAACCTGCTTTTTGGCCTGGGGAGCAGACCAGGCCACAACTGCCTCAGTCTCCCCATGCCTAGACCTCTGGGGTTCTCTTCCTACTGGTGTGTTCCAGAACTAAACCACTGACCTGCCCCTCTGACAGTTAACCTTCTCGACTGTCAGGCTAGGCGCGGGCAGTTGGTTCCTAACTAGGGACAGGGGCCCAAGTTGCTCTTCCCAGACGGAGCCGA